GGTTTTTACAACTTTTCCACTAGAATAGTCTGGTAAATCCCTTACTAGCAGTCAGCCTACCCTAGAAAGTTTTCCGTTGTATATTTACTAAGACGTTTTGTATATTTGTAGTGATCTAGCCTCTTCAATTATTAGCTCGTTTTGTCTTAAATCTGCATACTTCACTATATAGTCGGGAGCATTCGTTTCGAGAGCGAATATATGACAAAGCACGCATTTCAACTGCCATGGACATGTAGCGACCTTCTAGTTCTTAGCCATGTTTTCCTCGGACGCCGCGAGGACATGTCATGTCTGGCATGACTACCACGCGTGCGCAAGTGACGATATTGAAACCTCCGTTCAAGGTCACCCCCTGTTTGGCCTCACTGGCCAACCACTTCTCAAGACCAGGAGCTTACTGCGGGGGAGTTATTTACTCTCAGTCACTCTTAGAACCTACGATGTACTGTTCCGTTGTAGTTATCTGGGCCCGGTGATCTACTTGCCGGACTGCGCCTCTGGACTCCGGCCCATTCATGGCTGGACTTCACTTGTCTGGGAGTCACTTGCATGTTACTTACAATCTACGCTTGTTCCACCTTAGTAAATTCTCCCTGACATTATGGCCTTCCATGCCTTATCATATCTACTAGCTTATAAATGTTAGGATATGGTCTACCATCTATTACCTGGTTGGACCACATCGTATCCCATAGACACAAAGCAACTTTGGAGGGTAGGAAGACAATAACCGGTAGTTTGTCCGGAGTAAACCCTACTGAAATGGCATTGGCATCCAACATTAGCGTTTATTCTCGTTGTAATTGCAACCAAGTGCCGAAAAGGCGCGCAAAATGTGTAAGGGGAGCAAAATCTGTCGCCTACAAAGAATCTTGTATTGAAGGTTCCTATATCTTTCCAGAGTCCACTTTGCACATTTAAAGAAGTTCGTACAAGCAAAAATGATAAGCAAAATGCAAGTAGCAGTGCTACAGTTAAAAAAAAGCAAAGGGCGAAACGCCAAAGCGGCTGAAGAATACAATTTATGAAAATAACACCCTATCACTTGAGTATAAATCCACCTGTATAAAGCTAAAGAAGGTAAATTCACAGAATCCGGAATTAAGGCCACCAGACATTCTGAGTGCAGCTGACGAGTCGCTCCATAGTCTGGTGAAGGAATCGGCTACCCACCAAGAGGTTCCTATTGCTGGTTTTTTCATCGTTTTGAAATTATCCGTGTGGGGCGTCAACCACTAGAGCACGCAGTCGTGGAGAGTGTCGTCCCACAAGGTTTTGTGCTCGGATCGATTCTCTTTATCTCGTTCACGAATGACTGGGTATAGGAACTGGACAGCGATTGTGCCATATTTGCGGGTGATAATAAATCTGAAAAGTCATCCACATTCATATAATAATTATTGAAAGCACATCTAACCGCCCTTCAATTATTCGCACGAATTTTTATTGTCTGCTCCTCGCCTCGACCCTGAGCGTACTGTGTACGATTGTGAAGTGAACATTTTGCCCATCCCCCTGAGTGACAGTTCCTTTCTCTTCAAAAATCAACTTATTACACTAATTTAATGTCTTTGCCACTATTTATTAAGGCATTTTCACTGTTCATGTTCACAAGCAGAATGCTACATATGCTTGCATATTCGTCTTCAGATTCACCCAAGAATATATTTTACACATTGACTAGAGGTTATACTGGTGGTCCCACACAGGTACTCAGTGGATCAAAATGAATCCCAGGCATATACTTTTACGTCATCTAGCCTTCAGTCTGTCATTTTAAGGCCGCAGAGTATAAAGAATAGAGGAGAATCCCCCAGTTCCACCTACGTAATTAGTGCAGAAGACGGCTAACCAAAAGTCGGACTGATCGACTTATTCGTGTTTGTACATGAATGATTGGACAGGCTTAAAAACCAAGCAACACAACGAACAACACCGTTTGTGCAACTAAGTCAGTGAACGGCTCGTTGCAGGCGGCAGTGTCGGCAAGAATAAGGTTCCCCCAAAATCGTATGTCAGGTAAGACACTGTTGGTAGGAAGAACTCTACTGTACTAAAGGAGCCTTATAATAGCTGCGGTAAAGTGATAGCAAGCGCTGCGTACAAAGCCAGTCGAGTCCGTGAAAAGTTGTGGATGTGCGCAGGATCAGATGCACGCCTGTCCAGTCCCAGGAACTTATTACACAGCTGTTCACGAAGGATATGATTGAGAGGACCAACACTTGTGAAGCAGGTATGATGTTTAAGGCCGAAGGCCACCCGAGATACCTCAACTCGAGAAAATACAGAGAAGATAGATCCCGGAGCCCGAAATGTCAGTTGTTTCATGTCTGTCATAAGATGATAAATTTAGCTCCTAAATATATGTCGCACCAATTAGGACTGCAGAAGGCTGTCGGTACCCAAGTCGCTGGCTTCACCTCAAGAATATAGTGCTTTCACAGGCAAAAAAGACAACTAAGATCCCATGATAGGCTATGAATACTATTAAACCGTGGATATTCTCATAAAATGTTAACCGATACTATAGAAAAGACACTTTAAAAATGCTGAAATTGTATAGTCAGCGTAATTCCGACTGAATTTTTCACGAAATCAACAAAGTTAGGCTGTAAAATTTTTACCCAAGGATCGCACTCTAATCAAGCTAAGTACTTGGATTTTCCGAGTGCATTTATCCATACACAATCGCTCTCTGGGTATTAAAAATGCAATGCTGATTACCCTTAACTATACTGAAATACCCCCATCTCTCGTAAAGTGTCGATATATGGCTGAAACCAGAAAGTACTTAACAATCGCAGACTACGAGTAGAGAGTTTGGTTTTAATATTTCAGAAAGGTAGCTTACAAAAGTCATGCGAAGTGGATCCGAGGACCAAACAGTATCACATATGGGACAGTTTGCTTCAACATCCTCTTCTGAATTGCGAAAAATTGAAAGTGAATTGACAGTTTCGAAAGCAGTTAGCTAGCCAAACAGTGAAAAGAAAACACGACTGCGTAATTTGAGCCAAGTTCAAGTAGAGGAAGAGAATAGCCCGAAAGGCGACATGAGGGTTCAGTGGTAGCATGGTGTTAGGAAAGAAAAGTGGTACGTTGGGCTTCATTGTTGAGAAAGTGCATGAATAAGACAGCGGCTTCAAACGGCGTTGTACGCTTCTTCGCTGACCCCATTTGGGCGGCATTGGCACGGAGGAAGGAGAGGTATTGGCGCTTGGCCTTGGCGAGAGTGCTTGCAGTCCATGCGACACCATCGGTGAGATCGAGGTTTGGCGCCTCTCCGGCGTCCGGCGGTGCCAGGTGTGGGGGCAGACTGGCAAACTCGGCGCCGTTGGCTTGCGCTGCCAAAATGGCCGAAATGACCTCGGTTGTCGCCTGATCCAC